GAAGATGCACCCCTCTACCTGGGGAAGGGAGAAGATCAGAAACACAGAAATGGGAGCATAACCCAGAAATCAAGTTCCTGGGTAACAGTGAAGGGAAGCCCAGTGTAACGCCAGTGCCCGGACTCTGATATAGCGCTCGTCAAAGCACTGTAAATAACAGAATAGCGTACACCTCTGACATAACGTCAGGACGCGTGGCAGAGTCTGGGGAAGAACTGGTGGCACACAGAGCCTCCAACAAACAATTTAACGGACAGGGAGAATAAAGCTAGTATGCTAAGTGGTTGAGCTGAAATAGCATTTACATAATAACACAGACAATGAACTTTAATAAAATTATAACTATCAGGAAAACAGGAGAAATACAAACATGTATGTGTAGATGTGAGGAAAAAGATTCCTGTAGCAGGAAGTGAATAGATTTAAATTTCAATCTAAAAAATGAATGAAAGAAAACCTATAAAACCCTTTCCTTAGATTTTTTTTTTTTTTTTTTTTTTTTTTTTTTTTTTTGGTGCCAGGGATTGAACTCTGGACCTAGTGCTTGCAAGGCAGGCGGCAGAACCACTGAGCTAAGTCCCTGGCCCATAAGTCTTTACTTAAAAAGGAAATACCAAATTTGGGAGCTGAGGTAGGTGAAAATGACAAAGACTTGACCTTTTCCATTTAAGGGGCTAATCTCGAATTCCTAGGAACTTCATTTTCCTCCAGGAGCCTATGAACCTATTTCATTTAATATTTTTCCCCAAGGGCTTTCTCTGACTTTCTATAATATAGGACAGGTCATCCTATGTAAAAGCAAAAATAAAACAAATCCAAGAAGTGACTTTTATTTTGACATAATGGGATAAAATAGTACAGTATGTAAAGCATACAGTACTAGCATCTCTTTTTGTGTGTGGGGGGGTGAATTGTAGAAGGGGAAACTGGAGCATAGCAGGACCAGAATACTATTAATATGACAAGTATTTTTAAAAATCTATGTCAAGATGCCTAATACCTCCCCCTCCTTCTTCTGTAAACCACGGGGCCTCATTAATTCCAAAAAGAGGTAGTGATCGATCAGCACACATTGCAAAGATAAATAGAATTACTTTATGTAGAAAAAGGTGATAAAGGAAAAGATCAAAGAGGGAGAAAGTGGAAATACTAAGGAAAATACTTGTGTGGGGAAGCAAGAAGGGGAATTTTAGATTCAGATTGGAGAAAGAAGAAACAAAAAGTAGGTGTTGGAAAAAGAGCACTGTGAAAAGATATTTTAAGTGCTGCTGTATACTCTACTTTCCCTGTTCAAACAAACACAAGAAAGCTGGTAGCGATTTACATTACTTTTCTTTTGCATGCATCTTCAAAGGCTGAGAATATTCCTAAAATAGAAGCAGAAAAAGCCCCAGATTAGTGGCATTCCATCAAGGGTGGCCTGAATTGTTCTGCCAGGCATTGTGACAGTTTGTGTGGGATCATCCACTTTCTTTTCATTTTGAAGGGTCAGAACTGATCCAGCTTTGAATACTGCTATTACCTCTTACTAATGAGGAACCTCTCATTAAGTACTGGAAACTTGTGTTACTTTTTTTTTTTCAATAACATTATAATCCTAGCACCCTTGGAGTCTGAGGCAGGAGGATTGCAAATTTGAGCCTAGCCTGGGCAATTTAGCAGCTTAGTGTGAGACCCTGTCTCAAAAAATTTTTAAAAAAGGAGCCGAGTGTGACATGTCTGTACTCCCAGTACTCGGGAGGCTGAGGCAGGAGGATCGCTGTGAGTTCAAGACCAGCCTGGGCTACATAGTGAGTTCCAGGTCAGTTTCAACTACACAGTGAGACCCTGTCTCAGAAAACAAAACAAGGGCTGGGGATTTAGCTCAGTGGTTCCACTGCCTGCCTTGCAAGCACAAAGATCCGAGTTCGATCCATGGTACCAAAAACAAAAACATAGTAAAATAATAAATAAAGGGTTGAGGGTGTAGCTCAGTGCAAAAGCACTGGGTTGAACCACCAATATTGAAGAAAAAAAGTAACATTATTTTAAACATACTTTAGAATCCTGTTATCATCCTTCCCTAAAATTCAGTAGCATGGAGGGAAAAGAATCTTCCTATGGAAATGGTCATGTTTAATAAATATATTTTCTCAGTATACATTCAAGAGTCACTTGAGAATTGTTTATTTTGGTACCACTACATCTCATGACAGTTAAAAAGTCTTAACTTTCTAAAGTATCTTCCATGAACTGGATTTAAATACACACCACAAATTTTTTTAAAAAAATATTTTGCACACTTGTGATCATTATGTGTAAATCCTTGTAAAATTCTGTAAAGCTTGGAGAAGGCAAATATTGAATCCAGGTCAAGCTCTAGGAGGCAGAAGGGGTTGTCGGTCTGGTTCATGGAGGCTGCCCAGCACCTTGTCCGAAGCCTGGCATGTATAAGGCATTCAGTGAGTACTTATTAAGTGATATGCTTTAATCTTTGTAGGAAAGATCCCCCAGAGAAGAGCAGTCCTTTAGTGAAGTTATTCCGAAAATGAAAGGAAAGTCTGAATTCGTGGGTTAGTAAACAATAGATCGTGGCATTTGTGCAAACAGAAAGGGAAAGATTTGGCATAGCCCAACATTTAGAAAAGCATCATATAAAAATATTTTCTAAATGTATGACTTCATGAATGAGACTCAAAAGCTGGCTCTCAAAATTGTAGTTCTGGCTCCATTCTCATAGATGGTCCCCTAAGCCATCCAGAGGCCAGTATATGTTTGATTCCCATGACTTACTTAAGAATGGACAAATGGACAAAACCAAAGAAAATTTATGAATACACCCATGTGTAAGAACAAAGCTGAAAATGGGTTCAAACTTACAGAAATGCTAAGATAAGCAATTTTTCTTTTTTGAGACAGGGTCTCACTATGTAGTTGCAGCTGACCTGGAACTATGTAGCCCAGGCTGGTCTCAAACTCACAGCGATCCTCCTGCCTAAGCAAATCTTTTATAGATATTTTCAGCTAAGACTTAAAATGAGGTCTAAGTCTGTAACTCAGGGTCAGTAGTTGAACTCTAATGCCAAAGGCAGAGAATTGAAATTCACTTGTCCTTCCCACTGACAATGCTGTTTAAGAAATGGAATGTTTATGGTATACCAAGCGTGGGTGTTGGGCTAGATGTTTTCTATCACAATCTTGACAGAAGACCAGGGAGACATCTTTGTCATTATTCCAGAGATGATGGGATCAGCAGGGCAGTTAACAACTTCTCTAAATTTGTACACCAAGTAGAACAAGGATTCAAATCCAAGTTTAGTTTTTCTACCTCCTTGTATATGGAAAAATAGCCTAGTGGGTGTTGGCAATTGGGAATATCTCTTGAAACGAACATGCAAAACACCCAACTGCTGAAAATCTGTCACAACCAAATAAATCATACCCAGGGCCCTTGAGATCAGCATAGTGAGCTTGAAGGAACCACGGATAATGGGGTGATGGGCAGAGGCCATTCTGTTTTTAAAAGGATGCAAGAGACTGACAAGGGGCATACACAGGCCAAATCTCCTCTTCTGTCATCCTGCCCAGGACTTGCACAGGCTGAAGAGGTGGCATGCTGTCATCAGTACACAGCTGTTGTCAAGTAGATGCAGGACCAAACCTCATTGTGAATAGGACTGAGGAAGAAATTCCCAGTTAAAAGGGAGTATACAGGCAGGGCACAGTGCTGGTGGTGCACGCCTATAATCCAGCACTCAGAGGCTGAGGCAGGTGGATCAACATGAGTATGAGGCCAGCCTAGGATACACAGTGAGTTCAAGCCCACCCTGAACTGCAAGACCTTATCTCAACAAACAAGAGTATGCAAAAGTAGAGGCTGACTTCAAAGAGAAAATTGAGCTTTCCATTCTCCTTCCAAGTTGTGGCTCCCTAACTCTAAGCCTGGAACCCTGCACCACATATACCCCTTTATGATGTTTACCATTTACATGGTAGGCGGCCTCGGTTCCTCTACAAATTAATCACCAACAACAGTGCTATGCTCAGAAAATGAACTCCAGGGCCAGGGATTGAGCTCAGTGGTTCTGCCGCCTGCTTTGCAAGCACAAGGTCCTGAGTTCAATCCCTGGTACCACAAAGAAAAAAAAAGTAGAAAGAAAGAAAGAAAAGAAAATGAACTCCAAGTCCGAGTGACTGAGTTACAGATAACCTTATCCAGCACACTGAACCAGAAAACTACATCTGCAACTCTTTCTCTCAATAGAGAATTTCAGATTACTAAGCTCACTTGAAGGTTATTTCTGTGATTTCTAATTATTCAAAATTGGCGACCAAATTATTAGCGAGCAAATTACCCACTAGAGCTTGGATCTTGAATGTCCGCTGAAGGCCCTTTTGGAGACTTGAGCTCCAGCCTATGGTGTTACTGAGAACTGGTGGGATCTTTGGGAGGTGGGGCCTAGCAGTAAGTCTTCAGGTCAATTGGGAGCCTGCCTTTGAAGGAGATAACAAGAGGCCTTTCATTTTTTGCTTCTTGGCCATGAGGTGCCTGGTTTTACTCTACATGAGCTTCTGCCATGATATGCTGACTTAAGCCCAAAACATCGAGGACAGCAGACCATGGACCGGAACTTCCCAAACTGTGAGTCAAAGGAAAGTTTTATCTTTATCTCAGGTATCTGCTACAGTAACACAGTTCCCTAATTTTAGTCTTCCTAAACCAATGTCTGTACAACGGAAGTTAGACCTAAAAGTTAACATCAAATTTATGGACATTCTCTTAGCGTGAATAGAAAAAGTAATAATAAAAAGGCAGTAAGGTTGACTTAGAATTTCCTTTCCTGTCTTCTCACCCTGACTGGCACAGTCAACACATTTCAGAGTACACTCCCCACAGTGATGGAGGCACTCACTGCCCCAGCATCTAATACGATGGTTTCCCTCTTTCAGAGTACACTCCCCACAGTGATGGAGGCACTCACTGCCCCAGCATCTAATACGATGGTTTCGTATTAGAAACCATCTGAGGGATGAGGGCAGCGGGCTGCATGCGCAGAGCAGCAGTGTTATGAACCAGGACCAGCTGCCATGCTGTAACTTTGCTGCCATCAAAAGACAAAAACGCCCAAAGTAAGCATACAGGCTAACACGCAGTACCAATGGTAGAAATCAAGACATAAGTACATTTCTTATGCACAACAGGCCAAGCGATGAAGACATAATACAGAGTGGTGAAAATTAAACTTTCTTTTTAAGGGGTACCACCATGATTTTGTGGTTTCAATAGGAATTAGTATCACATTTCACACTTGCAACTGTAAAAATCATGTTTAAGACAGTATGGAGTTTAGATTTTGGTGGAAGCCTAGATGTAGGGAATGTTGCCATAAAAAAATGAAAATAGGAATGATAGAAGTACATTTTCTTTTATATACAAAAATGAAGGCCCAAAATATGCTTTGAAGTAGCTACTGAAAAGATGTTGAATTACTTTTCCTTTGCTTTGGTTAAAACAGCCTAGGAACAGCAGTCAGGTCCCCTCTTGCTAAGAGCACACAAACAGTGACAGGACTATTTTTAGTACAGAATAAATGACTTTCAAGAAATTAAATTAGTTTTAAACTAAACACTTTACCAATAAATAAATTTTTTCAAAAGGTAGCATCTTCATTCTATAATCTTGGGCATAACATATATACCAATTTAAAAAGTAAAATTCCTCCCACAATAGTAACTACAGGTGTTAATGCCACAAGCTATGAAATTTTAATGGATTTAAAAAAAAAGAAAAATCCTAGCAATAGAACATGAATTTTAAGTTGGCATTTTCTACAACTGTACATATTCCAAAGTAACTACTACTTTCTTACAGAATTCAAACAACTGTTGGCATTTCAATATAGTCCTAAAGAAATGGTTAAAAAAATATTTAGTACACCAAATCTGAAACAGAATTTGTATTTCTGATTTACAGCATGAAAGGCAATCAACTTCTACTTAAAACCATAATCAGTGATGAAATATACTTCAAAACATTTGGACCGACAATCTTTAATATTGGTTAAAAATGTTCTGATGTTTGTTGCATTGAATCCAATGTGCAAAAAAAAAGTGCAGCTATCTTTTTCTTGAAATATGTAAGACCAACACCACTATTTACACGCTAAAAAGATTTTAAATGCATTAATTTAAGTAAGCATATGGCATCTCCTTTATGGATAAATCAGGTGCTTCAGGGAGCCCAAAAGCTTGACGACACTTTGTGAAGTTACATTAATGTAACTGAAGAAGCAGATCTGTTGTTCTAATTTTCATCCTAAATACAAATCTCACTTCAAAACTCAGTTAAGAATTATTTTGGTCTCAGAAATCCTGGAACTGCTGCACATGTGGGAATCCTGTCGCTGAGGCCTTGTCTGCTCTTCTCCCCCTGGTCCATGCGGCAGAGCTCTGCCAGTGCAGGTCGCAGGGCCCAAATGAGAGGGCCTCGGACCTCAGCCAAGACCACCGATGTCCTGGCGGGCTGGTACAGCCTCCTGAACTTGCACCTACAGCTTTCGGGGAGCAATCAAAACAGGTGAAGAAACCTTCAGCAAAGCAACTATTATTTGTCCACATAAACAGTGAAAAACAATGATATAAAAAATTAACAAACCAAATACAAATCTAACACCATTCTGTATTTTCAGAACCTGGTTTCACACCCGCGCAGTGTTCTTGGTCAACCACCCACTGCCATGTTCTGTGTCTGTAAGGAGTACATTTATTAAATTATTAAAACTGCTGTTTTGACCATAAGTCCCATGTAATTACAATGATCAGGAAATCAGGTGATACAATTATTACTCTGTGCAGGGCACTCATCGGCGCAGTGAGTGTAGAGGAATTAAAAACGGAAGTCCCTCGCTTCTAAACTGGACACAGTTCTCAAATTAAAATCATAAAAAATGGGGAGGGGAGCTTCCTGGCAACACGAATAGACATCGGATAGGACAGCGCCACCGTTTGGTCACAACTTAGGAAGCTGCCTTGACAAGCTGCAGACACCCAACCAACACTGCCTCCAATCCTTCTGTGCAATGCTGCACACGTTTCCTTAGAAGCACCGCCTGCAGCAGCCCAGCCTTCGGCCGGGCCTCTACCTCTGGGGCCCCTAGCTGCAGGCAATGGTTTCCAGCTGCTGCTCGGCCTCTGCGGCCATGGCAGCCGCCTGCAGCTGCTCCGTCTCGCTCTGCATGGCGCTGGGGGTGACCTGCTTCCTCTCGCTGTGCATATTGTTCTCGTGCCGCTTCAGATCCGAGGCCTTGGCGAAGGCCTTGGTGCAGGAGCCGCACACGAAGGGCTTCTCCCCTCGGTGCCGCCTCTCGTGGTCCTTGAGGTGGGACTTGTGCTTGAAGGCTTTGTCACACATGTGGCATGCGAAGGGCCGCTCATTGCTGTGCACCCGCTCGTGCTTCTTCAAGTCTGGGGCGCGGATGAAGGATTTGCCGCACACCTCGCAGCTGTAGGGCTTGTAGCCAGTGTGGATTTTCAGGTGCTCCTTCAGGTGGGCCTGCGTGGTGAAGCCCTTCGTGCACATCTCGCACACAAACGGCCTGTCCGCTGTGTGCAGCTTCTCGTGCTTTCGCAGGCGGCCCTCGTCGGAGAAGGTCTTCCCGCAGGCCTGGCAGGCGATCTGCTCCCGATGGTGGCCGTACAGCAGGTACTCGAACTTCATGTCACTGGCGGCTGTGGTCCAGCCCGGGGTCTGTTCATCTTTTACCTCGCTCATGCCGTCATTGAACGTTAAGGCTTGGGGGGTCTGTGACCCCAAATCTTTGGACTCCGGGGTCTCCATGGACTCCACTTCCTGGCCGTAGCAATTGACTTTCCGAACCTCCTCGCTCCCCAGCTCTTTCAGGATTGCTTCCTGCACCCTGAGCGTGGTGGTGGGTGATTTGCCATCCTCCTGACTCGGGGGGGTACCCTCTACTGTGTCATCGGAAGGGCTGTCATCCTGATCCCCAATTTCTTCCACGTCATCATCCTGAGTGTCCGTGGTGTCTCCGATGGGGCGATTTATTTTGAGGCAATATTTGCTTTTGGACTGACCATTACTTTCATCGGGACTAGAAACATCACGCTTCTGAGAACAGAGTTTATCCAAAAACCGGATGCCAAGGATCTGACCGGAAGACATCATTAAGTTAACATCTTCCTTTTTCACAGAAATCTTTGCTGTGTACATGTAGTTCAGTACCTCCTCAAATATATCAGAACGGAGAAAATCTATTTCTATTACGGAAGAACTATCCACCTCAAGCTTCTTAAAAAGCTTTTTAAAGTAGGTGCTGCAGGCGGCAAGAACACATCTGTGTGCTCTGAATTTTACATCTTCAACCACAATAGCAATATCGCAAAATTCTCCTTCCAGGCGTTGTTCGTTTAGCGTTTTCAGAAACAGAGTTTTATGATCATCGTCATTGTACTTGATGGTTTCAGACATACTGATGAAAAACTCCTACAAAACAATTGTATTAAAAAAGGAGTTTAGTGATCAAGAATAACTTTTCCACACAGACAATATAGAAAGATTTTCATTTTATGATCGGGAACTCAATGTTAAGGACAGTCCAAGAATTGGGACGAAAAGACTGATCCTTACTGAGTGGCTTCCATACTGTAATTCTATCTACCTTCAGCTCAGTAAATGTTTGCCTAGTAATGGTAATAATAGCTCCTTCTACAGGGATCAGTCCAGGGGCCTTACATATCTTAATTATCTTCATATCCGAATGACCTATGAGGTAGATTACAGTTAGAAACCTGCCCAATATTATATAGCAGGGTAAAAAAGAAAAGTAGGTAGCTGAGACAACAGTCCAGGCAACTGAGCTCTAAAAATCACAGTTACAGACAACAAAGAGAGCAGGCCAACCTCAACATTTAAGAAACAGGCTGGACACAAGGACCCTCGCCCACCCCATCTGTAAGTCTACTCATCCCACACGTGGAGGAGTCAGTAAAGCAACAGCACTGTGAGCCCACCACTGCTGCCACAGGAGGGACACCACCGCCAGCCCACTAAGGGCCGCTTCTCACTTCTCCACAGCAGTTTTAGGACACTTCTAAAGGAGGGTCAGGGTTTAACCAGTCCCTGTGAGTCAGGTGACTTCCAGGAAGACAGCGAGTGGCTTTGTTCTCCCTGGACTCCAAGCTGCTCCCCACCGAGGGAAGTGTCACCCACACTGGATGTGCATGTTTAGCATCCTTACTAAATGCTCGAGACCAGAAGTGTTTGGGATTTTGGAACACGTGCTCATACATAACATGAGATGTTTGGTGGTAGAACTCAAGTCCAAACATGAAGTTCACATTTCAAGTGGAATTTTCCACTTGTGGCATCACGTCCGCACTCAAAAGATCCCAGAGTTTGGATTTCAGATATGTAAATGAATGAGGCTCAACCTGTACTTGATAAGCGCTATGAGTATTTTAGAAACAAAAGAAACTTAGAACTGATATGAAAGACCTTTCTCGCCATAATAAAGCTCTGAGCTTTAAAAAAATGACGTGTTCGATTTGCTTTTTTCCAAATCATTGTTTTACTTTTATTTGATAATGTAAATTCGAAGAAAACATGATTTTTCAAAAAAAAACAACCAGAAGTCAATATATAATCATATAGATGTCACAGAATTTGCCGTGTTGGGCAGAGCCAGGGCCTTGCTCATGCCAGGCAATAACCCCATCCAAGCAAAAGTCAAGACAGTTTTTCAAGACTTAGTATCCGAAGGCATAGTTACCATGAACAATTCAGGCTATTATCTTAATGCCTCAAACACCAAAATCTTCAGATCAGAATAACTGATCAGGGCACACCAGACCTACAGAGAAAAGAACAAGAGTGAGGAACGATCTTTCTCCATTCCAAATTCTACAGCAACAATGTTTTCAAGGACCGATCAAAAGAAAAACAGGCCTCCCCGCGCAGGACATGTTCCTATTTTCAGCTCGGGAGCACCTGGCCGGGTGGCCCGGCTCTCTGTAGACCTGGGCTGGAACTGGCAGGGGCTGGTGTGAGAGGGACCACAGGATGGCACGGAGGGTGGCCCAGGGCAGAGCTCTGTCCACAACTGCACAGCACAGGCGCCAGCCACCCAGGGCCCCTGGAGCCACCGTGGCCCGCATGATTGCTTTTCTCTAGGTCCTACACAGATGGACGCGTAAAGGTAAAGCTCCGGAAGTACAGCACCCAGCAGTTACCGCGGCTGGGCTAGCTGTTTATTTCTTAACACACCTGCGTGATGGAGTACACTCTTGTCTTGAAGACTGCACCTGAGAATCCAGGTGTTTTCACCTCTATCCCTACCCAGAAGCCCAAAGAAATTTAGTTTTTTGGGCTTGTTAACTCTTACCCGAGGAACACCATCCTGCACACCCATGTCCCGAAAAAAAAGAAAGTTTCCTGTATTGAACAGTGACCACACAAAAAAAGCTCTTTGGTGTGGTGGGCTGTAAAACAGTGCTACACAGGGTGCAGGGCCAGACTCGGACCTAGTGTCCTGCATCCCGGAAACCTTAAAAAGTTCCCTCTAGAAAAGCCTGTGCTCCCCAGGGCATTGGAGGTTCTCTCTGCAGTGCCCACCCTGAGCGTCTGTGGCCCGGAGGTCTTCCCGTGCGGGGGCCTGCAGTCACCGGAGGGAGGGAGGCCAGCTTGTCGTACAGGGCCGCCCTACGGGGGACACTTTCTGCGGCTGTCACTAACTCCAGGGACCGGTGGGATAAGTGTGCACCGAACAGGGGGAGGAGTGGCAGCGAGTAGCCATGGCAACACATCGGCGTGCCCTCCCTTTTTCTGTTTCTGGCCGGTGTGAATTCGGCCACCCATCTTGGTCTGGAGATCTGCGGGCCGGAGAGGGGGCACCACGCCCGGACGGGATCATTTCTTTTCTCTGCAGCGCTGTTCCACTTGCTAAGTTCAGGCGAGTCCAACCGGAAGATGGCCGTGGCCAGCATTTCTGTAGGGAGCTGCGGCAGACGATGCGGCCCCAAGCACGCAGCCGCCCCGCGCCGCCCGCACGGCCCGGC